TATATAAACAACAGAAATAGTATTGTGAAGACATTAGAAAGTTAACCTACTGAGCACAAATATGATGTTAAATTCAGATTTTGCTCAGATGATAGTGATCTGTACATCTGCTTTTCATTACTTTTGTTCTCACTGAAAAAATAAGTGAAAAGATGAAGCTGAAGGTTTTGGCTGATGAGGTAGACTATTCAGACTAATGTTTGTTAAACTTATAATTCATTGCTGACTTAGTAGGATACATATATAGAAATCTAAAATGACTCTAAATTTATTGGTGTCAAAATTAAATTGAATTTCGCTACCAACCTATTACGGACGTAATTATACACTTTAAATTTTGAGCTAGCCATAATTAATCTAGTCTTTCGATTTTTATGGTGACAATTAACACAACTGACAAAGTATTTTAGTGCACTGAAGTCTTGGCTACTAATAATGCGGTCATCCTAATGCATTTACGAACTATAAGTTCTTGTTTTTACAAGCAATCCTATGCACATTGTGGATTTTTTTTCTGTAATGTTAAGTTTTCTACTTTATACTTAAGAACGTAATGTATTGACAATTTTACAATTCCAAAAGCTTGGAACACTTCAGTTTCACTAAACAGTTTCGTAAAATGATTATCTATCAATAGAGGGCATGAATCAAATTTATTGTCATGATGAAGAGGGGTTCGTGAGGATTATTTTAGTTTGTAATTGCTATTTGTCACAGATTGATCTTAGTTGGAGTACCATCGGAAGCCCGAGAGCACTGCACATCTATTTCACCCTAATATGAAATATACTATGGCGAACATGAACAATTCTTGTGGTTTTGATTGGCTGATCTGACCATCTCCATATTTTTACTTCTCTCCTTATCTGCTTTTAATTAGTCACTCTGAATTGATTAGTGTCCAAAAGTCATTCTTTCATCTTGCATAATTTAATTGTCTTTATCATTTTAGCACAGTCTAATGAGAGCATCTATATAAAGCAAGGTTAGGCAAAACTTAAATGTTCACCTGTATGGAATCGGTGTACGGAGTTGCAACTCACTGCATGTTGAATACGTTTTTGAGCAAAAGACTGGATTGAAATTATGATAACCATTACACTAACATGAACCAAACTACTAGTTTTTGTTTTTCTCTGGTCACGTAAACTTGAGGTAATTTTTTTCTCCTCACATTGTATTTTATGGGCTATAGGAATTTACTTTACATTCATCTTTAAATAAATAAGACATAACAATAACAATATATTTCTGACATAGAACGTGTGCTTACTTTCATTGGCAAAGTTCTTGCAATAACAAACTGGTTCCCATATCCATATTAAACATTGAGAACTGGATAAATATTTTAACTTAGTCTACCAACTCTCGTCTACTGAGTAAATAAGAACTCGTGTTTTCAAAATCCAATCCGACTTTCCTACTTTATGCTATGCTGTTGGTTGGCCTAGGAGCTAACATTAAAACTAAAATGTAACGGAATATAAACCAAGCCTTACGAGTGCTAATTTTATCCTAAATCATCAGTGCATAAACGACGGGAACGATCAACAAAAATGATCAAAATCAAGCTTAAACATTCGATAAAATGACATACTGCAATCTTTTGGATGGAGTTTTGTTCTTTGAGCTGGATGACTTGTGCTGATGATGTTGTTCAGAATAGCAATGAAAGCTCCATGACCAAACCAAATAATAATAACAATAATTATTATTATTGTTATTACTATTACTATTATTATTATTATTATTATTATTATTATTATTATTATTATTATTATTATTATTATTATTATTATTATTATTATTATTATTATTACCAAGACGAAATCTCCTACCATGCATCTTATTCACACGATTAATTGTGTTACTATTATATTGCTGATAAAGAATCATTCTGGCCGTTGTTAGATAATCTTTCTTGTTTACAAATAACACAATTTTGAAGTATTTATGTCGTAACAGATGCAAAAGTTTGTCATTTTCAACATATAGCATTTTTAAATATAACCTTCACAAATTCCCATACTGATAACAATTATTTACATACTAGTGACTGGCTTGAAGATGGGTTTCATGGAGTTCTAGTGCGAAGTTGTGGCCAGTGCAGTCCAATACGTGTCTGGTGGAAACAGGTATCCACTTCAGACAATGAATAAAGGGTTGTACGACATCATGAATTGATTGGAGTTAGACATTAACATCGTTGAATGCCGGCTCAGTGGTCTAGAGGTTAAGCGTTCACGCGCGAAACCAAAGGTCCTTCATGGATGTACACTGCTGAGGAGTCCCATTCTAGGACAAAACGGCCGTTTAGTGCCTCCAGATTCTCAATAGCAATCTAGCCTAGATCGACTGATCATTTCAACTGTGAAAATACTACGATCTCCACACATCCCAGTACTGATAATTTCATTAATCCAGGCTTTATTTTACCCTTTGTAAAATATCACAATAATTATGGACTTATAAATTTAAAGCCTAATGATGAACTAATCCAAAACAATTGTTCGCTCAAATAATCTTTCTGTGAATATTTTATTTGATTTTTAAACTGCGTAAATATATGAATTGATAAGAGTTAAAACATCTCAAAGCGACTACTCACCTCCAAGTTTTACATTTCCAACCCTCTAATTCAAAATGTTTGAGAGTCTTTCTGAGCTTGTTTGCTCTGAGGACTTTTGATTGCAATTGCTTAAGACCTATAGTTAATTAATCAATGCATCATTTGAAAATGTTTCTCGATTTATACCATTATGTAAATATTACTTACTGAATACATTGTTTTATGATTTTAGAACTTGACTTTTGATTATACATTTTGCTAGTCGACATGGAATAAATAGTATAAAAAATTATTGAACTGCTAGGTACACAATATCGTCAAATTGCATACTAATCTTTCAAGTACAAATTATTGTATCCAAGTAACTAATATGGTTATCAGTCAGTGAAATAAAATAGAATGCCTGAAATTTCTAAGTAATTATTAATTTTCCTTGGTTGAAATGGATTTTTAAGTCTGAGTCTTAAAAGAATTACTTTTCAATCGTGTTTCTGCTACCTATCGGTCAGCGTTAAAAATAACTATCTGTTCAACATCTGTAAATTTGATTGAAGAATTCATCACATAAGCATCTCGGATTGATTTGTGAATACGAATGATATTTTTTAAGTTGTGTACATCTTGCAATCATCATCCAATTCCTCATATTTATGTGCTATTAGTAGTTCGTGTAGAATAAGGCGCCATCTTGTCAATGTATTATTTTAAATTAATTGACCCAACAACATAGACGATATCGATAAAAAGGTTTAATCGAGGATTTCTAGTATGTCCTGACATTAGGTAACACTTAAGTCACAACTAACTAGCAGTCTTCCGTACACATGTGATAGTAATAATATGACATAATGGATCACCGAACACTAAGGCTACATTGGTATCTAGCTTCAGTTCATTTTTGTATCAGTTGGACATAAAATTTATTGATTTTGTAAAGTTGTTTACTACGGACATCACTCACTGATCGATAAATTGTCATTCAATTCATATAAAAATTGTTGTTTGTGCGTTTGTTTTTCAAAATGAAGTTCTAATTATTAGACTGATTACCATGTTATCTAATTCTCACTAATGGCAAAAAGATTAAATTTATTGTCACTACTTGGCTGTACCTACTAATCATCAGTACACAAAATATAAATATTTTCGAATAAACTATGCAAAACCTATTGTTCTACATTTAAAAGGTTTTCTCCATTATATTTAGTATGTTTGTTGTACTGACCCCATCATAAGTCGAATACAGATTTACATTATTCACATATGTAATTGAATGAGCATTTCCTAATTTTTTTAGTGACGGTAAGCAAGTATCTATCTGTGTGCTCCCATGCGCTCGGTGAGAAATGCTAAGAAAAATTATAATAACAACAATTATTATTTTTTAAGTTGATTCCAAATCAGAGAGAACGGAATTTCGAGTCTTGAGTGCTATCAATCGATAAGTTCTTCATTATAATAAAAGTGATGGCTGAACAATCGTTGGTACATAGTTTTATATCAGAATGGGGGTTTGTGAAGATTGTAGTAATCTTAATAGTTGAATTCATAAGTCGATCTAAGCTAGACTATCCTTGAAAACCTGGAAGCACTGGATGACTGTTTCATCCTGGTATGAGACTCCTCGGCATTGTGCACCCATGATCCGCCACGCGGGACTCGAACCCTAGTGGCTAGCTTGAAGATGGGTTTCATGGAGTTCTAGTGAGAAGTTGTGGCCAGTGCAGTCCAATACGTGTCTGGTGGAAACAGGTATCCACTTCAGACAATGAATAAAGGGTTGTACGACATCATGAATTGATTGGAGTTAGACATTAACATCGTTGAATGCCGGCTCAGTGGTCTAGAGGTTAAGCGTTCACGCGCGAAACCGAAAGTCCTGCGTTTCAGATAGATTTTTCTTTAAGAAGGGTTATAATATTAAAAATTATCATTAGTTAGTTTTCCACTGGTTCACGGGTTAGTGGTACAGAATATAAGTAAATTGACCTGCTATCTCTTTAATGGAATTTCCTAGTTCGCATAATTAGCACATTTGTTTTCTGAATTGCTTTTCCACCGTTATGAGCTGACAGTTTCGGCCGTCACTGGCTATCCTTTTGAACCAAATCTACTACTGCTACTATCTTTGATAGCGTTCATAATAATCAGGGCTCCATATCTCTAGTAATTATCACAATGTAAATGAAAATCTATTTTAACAACTTCATTTGTGTTTCATGTGTTTCCCATTAGAGTTCTTCTTTTGTTTTCTGTTTTTTTATCTTATAACCGTTAATGCTTTGTCGTATTGTTTCGTTTGTTTTGATTTCTTCCTTTTTAATTTCAATTTTTAATTGAAAAAACTGAAACTATCAGATTTGTTTTACTGATGTAACATTTTACATTACCGTCATAATTTACAATAAATTATGTTTGGTTTTATGTTTAGCATTCAAATGGAAGGAATGTTTGTGAACCCTCACCTTCACCATATAAAAGAAATATGAATCGTCCACTATGTGGAATAGCTTTGTTTGGTCCGAGTGAGTAATTTCTTTTTTTTAAGAATTTCGAATCCTATATAATCTGTAAACAGAATACGACCATTAAGACATAAAATAAGAAAGATTGGCTCTGCGAAGGGTTCTCTTTTCGAACAAGTCATGTTCCAAGATGTACAGTTGTAAATGTACACTTATTTTTCAAAATGATAATAATAACTAATAACGATAATAAAATTTTGGTAAATGATAATTCTGCCGAAGCACATAACTATACGTGAAACAGTAGTTCGAAAAATAACGATTGGTCTAAAGAACGGTCCAATTATTGAGGAATAAACCTGAATTGGTTGGAAACCTCAACTCGTGGGATATCTGCGAAGGTCAAAGACTTTGCAAGTTTGGAAAGAGAAAGGACTTTTCTAATGATAACATAACTAGTAATGACAACACATGATTGTGTGAATGATAGATCTTTAGTGTTATCAACAGTTTATCAAAAATCAAAATGGGAACTAAGAGCACACGAATGTAGAAAATATTTCATTAAGAAAAAGATTAAAAGAATACAAATAAATGAAAATGAGTATTACAGTGGTTGAAAGTTATCATAAAAATAAATATTACTTGCTGCCTACACCTGGTAACCTTCGTAGAGGAAATAGGCTGCCCGCTCGCATTCTCCATCCAACTCTATCCTGGACAGTCCTTCCCACTTGCTATTCATTCTTTTGATATCTGCTTCCAATTCCCGACGTACTATGTTCTTTGGTCTTCCTTTGCTACGTTTCCCTTGACGATTGCCTTGTGATGCAATATGTTGATTTCCTCAATGTATGTCCAATCCACTTTCAACGTCTGCATCAGATCCTCCTCGTTCATCGGTGCTGCTTCCCAGATACGTAAGTGTTTCCACATCTTCCAGAGATTCTCAACCAAGTGAGGTTGAGTTGGTGTTCTCTGTGTTATATTTAAGGATCCTGCTTTTCCCCTTGTGTACGGTGAGGCCTACTGATGCAGAGGCTGCTGCCACACTAGTTGTCTCCATCTGCATTTGTTCGTGTGCATAGGACAGAAGAACCAGGTCATCTACGAAATCCAAATCGTCTAGTTCCACCCAACCTGTCCATTTTATTCCGTGCTTCCCACCTGATGTCGAGCTCTTCACAATCCAGCCAACTACCAGAAGAAAGAGGAAGGGAGGCAGCAAGCAGCCTTTTCTGACTCCGTTCCTCACTTGGAATGCATTTGTCAGCTGTCCTCCATGCACCACATTGCAGTGTAGTCCGTCGTATGAATTCCAGGTGATGTTGACGATCTTCTCGGGTTCACCATAATGTCGTAGGTGTTTCCATAAGGTTCTCCTATCCACACTGTCAACTGTTTTCTCATAATCAAGGAAGTTGATGTATAGTGACGAATTCCATTTAATTGATTGTTCGACGATGATCCGTAGTGACGCGATTTGGTCTGATCACGGCCGATCCTCATAGAATCCAGTCTGTTGATCTCGAAGTTGGGTGTCTACTGAATCTTTTATCCGGTTCACCAACACTCTGTTAGTAACTTTGCCTGGTACTGATAGTAGTGTGATTCCTCTATAGTTTTCATATTTGCTCAGATCTCCTTTGTTTGGTATCTTGATGAGATATCCTTTCTAGTCTGTCAGCACTTGTTGTTCCTCTCAAATCTTCCTTAATAGAACGTGGAACATATTTGCAGTTATTCCGATGTCTGACTTTAGTGCTTCGGCTGGTATATTGTCAGGTCCTGGCTCGGTTGGGGCACTACACACAAACCAAGTGACTTGTGTGGGGCATATTTATTCGGTGCCCCGTTGTACCAATATTTATGTGTTCAAATAAATATGTAATAAATAATTGTCAGGTCCTTCTGCTTTCTCACTCTTGATTTGTCTGATGACCATCCTGATTTCTTCTATCGTTGGTGGAGTGATATGTATAAAAAGATCTGTAGGTGCTACTTCGATATCCGGTACATTTGTGGGATTATGGTCTACTTCGCTATTAGTACTGCTATAATGATAAACCTAATCCTAAAATTGTAGACTTTTCATGATGTGACTACCTAATCTATTATATCTTCCGTGGAATCCTCATCATTACCTTCACTGACTTGTCGTACCGCAGGAATCAGCAGCATAACGTCTAGTGCTTTTGAAGAACACTTTTGGGCTAAAGATAGAATAATATATTTAATGTGAGTAAAGACAAGTTATGCTGGCTGATCACATCTGCAAGGCTGGGCCATGCCATCTGATTGAATGAACGAATGTTCCCGCGTTCTCCATCGTTAACCTTCTCTTCGTGTCAATTGTTGAATATAAATCTTTTCAGTAATTATACGCTCGGCTTCAAAGGTCGTGTGGTTAGGGCCCAATGCCACTACAGATTCAATGAAACCGGTCCATTCAAGAGTTCCTCGAAGTGTTTCACCCTTCTGTTCTTGAATCTCAGTGATTGTCCTGCCTTCCTTGTTCTTGACCAATCTCTCTGATTTCATCGTTTCTTCGTCGTGTCATATAGTTGTTTCATATTTCTTTCCACATATTTCTGCTTGTCGGCTCTAATGCTTCTGTTAACTTGCTTATTCGCTTCTGTGTATTCAGCTTGTGCCTTGACTTTCTCTGTTCTGGTTCAGTTGTTGTTAGTTGATGTCCTCCTGTTCTTTCTTTTTTGAATCTTGTCGAGCGTTTCGATAGAGATCTATTCCCTATGATGATGCTTCTTGTGGCCCAGCACCTCCTGACACGTTGAAGTTAGTGCTTCTTTGATCCTTTTCCAGTTGTCGTCTATAGTAGTTTCTTCTGTCAGTAGATCCTGTAAGGTGTGGAACCTGATACCGAGATTTATCTTGAATTGGTTGAGTTTTTCAATATCTCGTAGGAAGGCTGTATTGAACCTTTGTAATGCTGTTTCTCCAGTTTTCTACGGGATGGTGTTACCGACCCCATTCTCAACCCCCTTCCTTTATGTGGGCTTGGGGTGGGCAGTAGCCCTAGAAGAGCTACAGGAGGAGTTAACAATAAATATAGTAAATTTAATAAGTGTATGTAAATAATTTAGGATATTGCATGACAAACTTCCATTATATCATACGCCTAGAAATTATTGAAAATAGAACTGTTTATTGAATATGAACAAGTAGTACAAAGCGATACACATAATATAAGTCGGATGAGATGAGAATATTGACGGAGATTTCTGACTAACTTAACAGTAACGGTGACGCAAAGTATATAAAGGCATGAAAACATTATTTTTACTAAGGAAACCGACAAAAATGCTGTTTTTGATAGCTCCAAGGTTCATTCTGAAGATAAACAAAGAACTATAATTGGAAAGGGAATGCTCAACGTGATAAGGATCATAGAAACAAAAACAAATTAGCTTTGCCTTAAGGTTTATAGAGAAGATAAGTAGGGAGCAGATGTCTGTGAGAGAAGAAAGAAGAAGGGACTTGCGAGATATTGAGATTATGGTAGAAGAATGGATTTTACAAACTTCTTTTTTACGCAATTATGTTTTTACATATATGTAGCAAGTGCTTCGGCAATACTAACACGAAGATAATTGTCTTTTGAAGTCACCTACTTACTTTGTAGATGACTTTCAACGCAGAGTCGGTTTTCATTGAATGTTGTACGCTTACAAGGTATTCGATTATAGAACTTCTTATTAAGCCATTTCCTTGTTTTCAGTCAGGCGGGGTGATTTTTTGTATAAAATACACATCGGACAACCTACATACCTGGTTCCACATGAACAGGTAAATTGATAGACTATTACTGAACTTTGTTTAGCTTGAAAACAATAATCCAAGGGTTTCTGCGAAGATTGCTCCATTGAGAGAGTTGGAAATTTCTCTATTCAGGATGCCTGTAGCTTTGAAATCGACGTGCATATATAGAATTTTCTTCCGTACGGCAGCTATCTGTGCGTTCGGAGGTCTGTGTTTTATGTTCTTGTTGATAAAATATTCTGCGGATCTCCTTTTTTGATAAGTATTTTCTTTAGGAGCTTCAGTTCATTATCTATGACGTAGGGAATACATAAACTACGCTTTAAACTAATGGAGACCCACCTGTGAAAGCTTGATAGCTGGCCATTCCACGATGGTTCTGCGTAAATTAATACTCCTATAGTCCCATCGTATTTCCTTGTCATTTCAACACCAAGAAAGAGAATACTTTGCTTGTTTTTAACTTCTAATGTGAAATTTATTGATGGATAACAGTTATGAATGTCTGTGGAAGATGCTTCAAATCATATTTATTTTTACAAACAATATAAACATCATCCATGTACTTTTCATACAGGTGTAAGCTGTCAAAAGTTGTTTTAAGTTGATTGTTTTCCAGACTGGCCGTGAAACAATCAGCTAGTAATGAACCAAGTCGAGATCCCATTGCTATGCCATCCGTTTATATATAAATTACGTCCTTTTATGAAAATCGTACACTAAAAGTGCATTGTACTAGTAATTCTTTTAAACAGGATTTTGGCAGTCCGATATTAATTCCATTATCATCTATGTATTTGCAGATAAAGCTAATGGTCTCTGTAAATGGGACATTAGTGAATAGTGATTCGACATCAAATGGAAGGATAATTTTTGCTACCTACATTCACTTCTTTTATGTGATCATTGAGTTTAAAAGTGTCATGTAGAGAGTGCATACAAAGACGTTTTCTTGCGGTTTTCAGGAGATCTCCCAGCCGCTTTTCTATAGAGTGATAAGCAGATCCGGACATATCAAGAACTGGTCGGAGAGACAAACCAAGTTTGTGTACTTTAGATAGACTATATAGTCGTGGTATTAATGGTCCTGTTGGTTTTATGTGCTCGTACATACATCTTCGTTAATTACAGGATCATTATTCATTCTCTTAAGAATTTCATTTAGTTCGGTCTTGTTTTTCTCAACCTTATCAAATATGCAGCTTGATTAGTCGCATAACATTCTGACCTGATATCTTTGTCTTAAATGTTTGTCTCTTCTTTGTTTGGGTGTTTCAGAATGTCCTGGATGTAGTTCAGCTGGTATCGAATAACTTATATCTCGTTTTAGTTGACAATTAGGTGATTTCACCACTAAGTGTTTGGAAAATAAAAGTATCTCATCAAGATCCATGAAAGTCTAACGATGAAAACAGTTTACGAATTTGACGTATGAGAGATAATTATTTATTTAACCAATATGAATGTAGGGAAAAATAAATGCAAAGGGGTCATAATAGTAAATGATTAAAAAGAATAAAAGATCAGAAAAAGGTATCAAGAACTAATTACTGAGTATAAAGTATTGTATTAAGAGTATAAGATAACAGTAAAATGAAAGATTTCTCGTACAGCGTTTTTACGTAGAGTTCAGGTTTGAACAGCTCAATAGCTAAACCCTCTTTAGTTCACAACTGTTTTATTTGTACTCATTTCGATCCCAACTCTTTGACCGTATATATTGTTTAAAAGGATAAATCTGCTGTGACAGCTTGGGTAGGACTGAAGACATGTTTCGAAATTTAGCTGTCGATTGTTTTGGATTCTCTTTATGAAAGCTTTGGACAGTAATGCTCAGAGATAAGTTTAGAAATCCATCGCTTAGTAGGGCTGATGTAATCTGCTCCAGAAGGAGCAATAAACTGATAGATCTACATTGGTTTGATCCAAAACAGCACTTGATCTGAAACTTTGAAAGTAATTTAGTCTTTGTTAACATACACTCATTGACTGAGCAAATTTTAGTCCTTAATATCAGCAACTGAATAATACAAATCCTTATGAATAAGCGTTCCATATGGTGAATACGTTCGTGACTTTCTGGACTCAGCAGTTTAGTGGATAATGAGTTGGTGTTCGGTACTGGAACAAGGTCTCAATATGCACATTAAATGTGGGATGCAGGTACATCCAACTAACGGGTCCCAGATATGGTGAGACGCAAGCTCTGAGTTGCAATGTCAGCCACAACACAAATATACTGGAAACTTTCAACTAAATTTCAGTACTGATACATCAACTCGGGATGTGCATATGCCGACAAATACTGGTCAAACTTTAATCTTCAACATTGTAAACTGGATAATATAAAATCCTTACGAATAGATCAAACAATAAACTGTGAATTCCGTCCAAGTGATTGCCTGTTTTTGATTCTTTATGCAGTCGGACATTGATTAGTTAAGCTCCTTAGGAATTAAGTTATTGATTAGCCAAGTTTGATTGTGGTAATATTCTCCGACAGTTTCGGTACTGGACCGACAACTACCTTCACAACTAATAACATTACACTCCACATTAAAGTTTTATTCGTGTCAGGGTGATGTTTTCCCTAAGCTACCGTGTGAAAACGAGAGGAAGTAAGTGGATTTTAGGTATCAATCGTTGGAAAGTGGACAATATTGTTGAGGAGGTGCACCAACCTCATTGTACAAAACTGATACATTTGTTATCCTCTATTCTTAACCTCACGTAACTCTTAACGGTAATTTCGAAATAACACATGAAGAATAAATGTTTATATAATAGAATTATAAACTTGACCAAACATTTCGTTTTTACTTACCAACAAATATTTTTTATGACTTCAGGAAATGAACTTTTTGGTGAAATGAAAAACCGACTAAAATTAAGATCAACTGGACATTCAGATACTAAAGAATCGCCTTCAGAAATGTTGACGAACAATGCAGTTGAACAGCAGGAACCATCTTCATATGACAATACTTCTTCTAGCATGTCAGCGAACTCCAGTCCCAGATCATCAATATATGATGACTTTGAACAATCTGAGTCGAAAACAGTATCAGATATTTTATTGGTGAGCTGTTTATTATCTATTGGTGACTTACAAGTTTCCACTTGTAATCCTAAACTATGTAAACTTCCATTACGTAACCATTTCTCACTTAACTTTCTGTCGAGAAAGTTTTTCTGATCTTTTGGAGAATTCAAAGTACATGAATCATCGATCGTACACTACGGTATCAATTTCTACTAAATAATTAAAGAAACTGTTTCCAGATTGAGGTTTATAAATGGATAAATATATATAAATAATGGGGATAAAAGTGTGGGATCTACAAGTGGGAAGTATAGTGTTTCACGTATCTTATATGACACCCAGTATTATCTAACATCATGTTAGGGTTTTTTCTTTATGTTAACAGACAGACATCATTTTCAATGGAAATAGCATTAGGACAATAATAGTATATTTTATGAGTGCGCAAAGACGCTACGATTTTGTTTTCGTTATAGGGACCTTGTCTGAGTTTTGAGTAGGTCGATGGATATAGTGTGATAGTTCTTGTGTAACGAACTGATATCAAATTTGTTCATCTTTTGATTTGACATGAAGCAAGATGTTTCATGTTATTAATGAGAGATTACTGTATTTCCGCATAACCTGCAGTTTTAATTTATCACACACAGAGGAGGTTTTTCACTGTTATACAAATAATAATTAAGTATAAGAGGCAGAATATGAGTGTAAGCAACCAGTCTTAACACAAAGTCATGACATGACGAATCCGACCGTATTGAATAACACTTACACATGACTATTTGCTGTTACACAAAAGATTAACTATTCACCTGTCCTTTTTATCGGTGTTTTCCTATTCTTATCTATCAGTAATCAATGCGGACTTTACATAAGTATATTAACAAACAACTCAGCGACATATCGAGTCCCTAAGTTCGTCAGTTGCCGCATTTGAAGTTCATCACAATTTTATGCGAATTTCGATTTCGGTCGTGTAAGAAATTTATATTCTACACTTTTCAGTAAGCTAAATAAAATAATAACTTTATTATTGCATAGTGAATAATTGATTTTTCACTACCTACTCATCAAAAGAAGAATTTCAGCAACGTCTGTTGTTGGAATAATAAAGATTAACAGTGATAACTATATATAAGTAAAAAGGTGAATGCGAGGTCATTTGAAGATCGAATTAGAAAACACATAGGATAAGGGAGTAATCATACAGAGTCTATAGACTGGTAAGATGGATTGTATCATAATTTTACAAAATTTGAAGAGGTACATAAGTTTTAGATCACTAGAAGACAGAGCAACGAGATGGCAATTGTCTAGGATTCTAAATTCGTAAGACTGGTTACGCTTTAATGAATGAGATTTGAATTGTTCGGATAATTTTCGAGAATTGGGTGCGTGAAAAGAATGAATGAATGGATGATTTTAGCGTACATGAAATAGCAATTATTTTAGCAAAGATTGCATAACATAATGAACACAATAATAATAATTTCGAGTGATTCTAACCAAAATTGTGAATTTACCAAGGGGATGATAAAACTGACTAGTCCCTTTCTGAACACAAAAGTGAAGTTGGGGTTTTTTAAGCCATCGCATCTCTTAGTCCCAAATTCTTTGAAACGTGCTCCGAAATGCGATATTACACTTTAGTACAAATACAGTTGTAAGCTGATGATGCTAAACTACGAACTAACATGAATTCAAAATATCCTACCTTATGGGTTATTTATTTACAACATTGAAGACCAGCTACTAACTAAATTTACTATCGGTTGATTTGCGAAAGAATCCATTTTTGAAACATCCTTTTCTCATGAGCACAAGATTTTCTAGTCTTTCCCCGGAGCAAACTTTCGACCACAGTCGAAACATCACAAATACTAAGTGGGATAGTTGAGGTTTTACTTGAATGGTTAGTTGTAAATAAATGGTAGTTCATTTCTCTAAGATAACTCTAGAAGTAGAGTCTATACTGTGTTTTGTCCCTCACAAAAGGCTTGTTATCCATGAACATGTATATTTTTTCTCGTGAATACATCTAGAGCTCATTTGATTTCGAAAGATTTATCTAACAATGTTACACGAATTTTACTGTAAAGAACACATTATCATTATGATTCTTACATTGGTGCATTTGTATCTACACAGAATCGTGCGCGTAAACCTCCTACACGAAAACCAACCTTGAATCGTTGCTCAGATGTTCCTAATAGACAATCATTTAATACTTCTAGTACCTCACTTATATTTCATCCAAATGATAATTCCAAAATACTCGATGGTTTGACGGAATTTTTCAATCCAAACAGTTAATTGCTGTACAGGTAATTTATTTTTGACTCGTGATAATATGTAAATTATTTAAATCTAGAAAGACTTCCCATCTATTTGATTTTCATTGGTATTCAATCGTTCCCAGCTTGAAAATCACTGAGAGCATAACCAGTCATTGTTCCTAGCCCGAATTAATTATTGTCTGAAAAGTTTCTTATGTTAATCGTTGTTATTACTTTCCTGAATTGTTTTTACACTTAGTGTGGTAGGTGCTGTAGAACACAACGAATAAAGTTCTTAGTACTATCTGGGTCTACAGTGAATTAGTAAAACACAGCAACTTATTACTACCATTAAAAAAAATAGCAAGAAGCTTTTATAAGTTGTTCGCAGGACGGCAGAGAAAAATACTCTACTTAGTCATCCGACAAAATGCTTATTAAGATCATGGTTCTGTATCTCACCACTGAACTACACGTTTCTTACGCTTTTCCCATGTTATCAGTTAACTGACTTTGGATATTTTCAATGCTTCTCTGTTGAAATCTCAACGGATATATATTCTCGATAACATATAACTTCTTTAGATTAAACGCACCCCATTAGGTATCTTCTAAAATTCCCATTTTCTTGGCCAGGTAAGAAAGGGATTTACTTTTTCTCCCTACCCGAATGAAAGCTGTCGTCAGTTCATAACAATCACTTTTTTTTCTGTTAGACGCATCCTATGGGTTATGGTTAGATATGAGGAAGTGGGAGTTCGAAGTTAATTTGTCTGCTAATGCAAGCCCCACAAATATACAAACTACCATCGAATAACTGGTATATTTTATGAAATTTTATCATTAAGACATTTCGAACAAAAGTCTACAGAAATACCTCTTGCCGAACATTTGACTCCTCAAGCGATGTACTTTCCAACTAATGACATGTATAACTAGGTCCACTACGTCGGAATTCCAACAGCTATTGACGACGCGAAGTAAAATGACCAAATATGTAATACATTGGATAAGCTTATTTTAAGTGAAATCTCAGTGCCAAAGTAAATCCGAATAGAACGCAGAAGTACAATCCAAGGAAGCGTGTAGAATATTCTCAATCAATCCTGAGGCACACAGATAAAACTGAAGATAGAATCAATGAAATTTACCAGCTCTGAAGTCCAGAACGTGTGTTTTGTCAAACTTGAGACTAGTTAGCTGGATGTAATTTCATCCCACTGCCAGCCATATTTTATTTCATATAAACTTGTGATATAGTGACTAACTTCAACCTCACTTGGTTGAGAATCTCTGGAAGATATGGAAACATTTACGTATCTGGGAAGCAGCATCGATGAACGAGGAGGATCTGATGCAGACATAAATGGGAGGATTGGAAAAGCAAGGGCCGCATCCCTTCAATTGAAGAACATATGGAACTCAAAACAACTTTCAACCAATATCGAAGTCAGAATCTTCAACAAGAACGTCAAGGCAGTCCTAGTGTATGAAGCTGAGACGTGAAGAACTACTACAACCATTATCAAAAAGATACAAGTATTTGTAAACAGTTGTCTACGCAAGATAATCAGTGTCCGTTGACCGGATACCATCAGCAACAGTCTACTGTGGGAGAGAACAAACCAGGTTCTATCTGAAGAGGAAATTAGAAAAAGATGTTGAAAGTGGATTGGATATGCATTGAGGAAATCACCAAATTGCATCACAAGGGAATCGTGAAGGGAAACGGAGCGAAGGAAGACCGAAGAACATACTACGTCGGGAATCGGAAGCAGACATCAAAAGAATGAGTAGCAAATGGGAAGGACTGTCCAGGATAGAGTTGGATGGAGAATGTGAGCGGGCAGCCTATGCTCCTCTATGAGAAATCGGCGGAAGTTGTACCTATTAAATTTTTCCGTCGTTTTACCCAAGCTATTTATATCCACATTCTTTTATCATCCGAGTTTTTCCGACCAATTTTCTTTGCATCTTATTAGCTCCCTCTCTCCTACTAATGTAAAATGGAGCAATCATGGAAGATGTCGATTTGTCTCAGTTCCTACCCCGTTTGACTAATTTCAATACACAGATTGGTAAATAATATTCAAACAACCTAATTTACCAGTACATTTATGATTTTGGGTAAAATTTCTCATGAAAGTATAGGAAGCACTAGGACTATTTCAATAAAAATATAACTGAAAGTCGACTTTCAGTGTTTCGATTCTAGTATAAAAATTAAGTTTAGATGAAGAGTAATAAACTTCAACCACGTTTTATATCACTAAAAGTGGAGAGGTGGCAATTTTATGATATGGTGCGATAGGACAAGTCGTAACTTTGTAGAATTGGAATCCGTTGGTATATCACAACTGTCTGAGTATAATCTGAACGATCATGTAACTCAATGAATCGAGAGGCTATTAAACATGGTTTAGAATATAAAGCAGAGGAAACCCCGCAGTTTTCTGATCTTCCTATAACAAATAAGATGCAGCTTTGAACTGAATGGACCTCATCCTAGATGTATTCCTACCTAAACTATATTTTAATAGACACCATTATTTTTAGAAAACCTTTGACATGGTTTTACGGCTACTAATTGTTTACAACAACAGTGTCTTGCTTTCCTTAGTAATGATGGAGTTTTCTTTGTTGACCGTTAGAAAACAAATGAAACGAACATACTCTATGAACAATCATAGGACAGTACAATACGATGACACGAAAATGTAACGGTCGGTGAATAGTGGTCGACATCTATGTTTAACTTCATAATTAGAATATACGTCTCAATGTTAAGAAGAAACTTCTTAAGTTTCAGTAAGATAAAATTAACTCCAACTTCATAGAGATTCTATATGTACTTGTCAACATCTAACCACTATACCAGTCCGTCATTCTTTTTCTTTCATAGAAACGGAAAATCCCCAGTTTTCCGAGAAAAAAACAGTTGGAACTGTAAGTTTAGTTTCACCAGACAGTTATTCTGTCGGTTCATGATCTCAATCAAAAACCTAATAATCTCCACAACCACTATACTAGTATTCTATCTTTATTAACATGGATCCTTAAGTGTGGATACAATAAGATCAAGAACTCCAGGTTGTTTCGGAAGATTTGTGTTCCTTAGGCTCATAACATGTAGGATCAACCAAGTCAAGAGTGAGAATAAACTGGATAACAATTGCACAGTATTATGTATTAATTAAATATTTCGGTGAATGGCATCAAGGACGTACATCGATAGATAACATAAAATTAAGAGCAAACGGTTACATATCCAGCGCTAATTTCTTGACATTTCAGCACACGTCCAATCAAACAGACGAATTCGCTACATCCAATAAATGGATTATTAGTCACAAGTAATATAGTTTTCTTTTACAAAACCTTATTGAGACATGTATGGTTTGTTTCGGTATATCGCAATAACCTATTGAGTACACAACCAATTATTAAACCTGAATAACAGTTCGCATCAGTTTATGTCTTGTGGGTTGAAATTTGACTATCAATCATAAAAATATGCTTTTGAAACCAGTAGGCATTGATTGTATGGGTAAATAACAAGTTAACATTTAGAATATAGTCCACGTTAAAATCCATAAAACAAGCCTGCACGCATTGTTTAGACAATGTAGTGTCACTGAAACGTTCACATAAAAATAATAAAGATATATTGAGGTAAACTTGCTACATATTTATTTTACAATTTACTTAAAACAGGCGTAAGTAATTAAATTAAAATTACGTTTGGTTAAAGTAACATAAAATGTAAGAGATGTGTGCGCATATTCTTTAACGTTAGTATGAAAACTGGACATGACATCAACATGGACTGTCTAATCAAAAGATAGATCTCTAGTTCGAAATAAGAGATAAAACTTCAAATTGGACTCTAGATTCAGTCCCTAAGCTTTTCCAGTAACCCTCAGGTTAATGCTACACAGCGACTTGATCACGAGAGAAAAGGCGTGAAATATAGAAGAAACACTTTGCTCCAAAGGTTTGTTTATGTACAGAAAATCTAAGGTATTTGTAGTATTTTATATGGCCTTGGGCTTCCGGAAGTTTCTGGAACGCTAATAAACATAGTAGCAGTATAGGTAATCATCCAGCCAGAAACGCACTATGTGACTTTCTACGTTCTAGACATTTCCGGCAAAACTTTTATTGAACCCTGATTGGATAAGATGCTTCTCAGCGTTTTCAGCACCTTTCCTGGCTTTTCTCGAGGATTTTTCTGGGTCTCCTCAACAATAACCAAGTTCAATGTTCAGTTAACTGCCATCTTGTTATTTTTGGAGTGTCTACTGAAAGTGGTTACGGCAGTCACTTCAATAATACTCATTACAACGATTGTATGAATGTTCCCAGTAGTATGTGTCAAGATCTTTTTCCTGTTCTTGCTCCATGAAAATTCTGTTCTAGCTCGTCATAGGCCATTCTTATTGTTGAGGATGATTACCTATACTGCTATGTTTATTAGCGTTCCAGAAACTTCCGGAAGCCCAAGGCCATATAAAATACTACAAATACCTTAGATTTTCTGTACATAAACAAACCTTTGGAGCAAAGTGTTTCTTCCATATTTCGCGCCTTTTCTCTCGTGATCAAGTCGCTGTGTAGAATTAACCTGGGGGTTACTAGAAGAGCTTAGGAACCGAATCTAGCGTTCAGTTAGAAGAATGATCAGCTAATGAAACATTTTTTCTGTTTACATACCTGGATTACTCTTTTAATGTATTTGTAAAACAAAACTCTCTGGTATCTTGCTCAGAACTAGGTTATAGAGAAATTAGTGATGGTGGTGGTGGATTGACCACAGCAATAGAAGTTAAATATATTTTTATCTTGCAAATGCCTAGAATGAAAATAAAATGGACTAATTACTCGGGATACTATTGGTTCTAAATTTCACTACACAATGGTTTTTCTAGTTATAATATGTTTCGAACTCTTCATAATGGAGTTTGAGCAATTAGGTGGATAATTATATCAAGCTTCCAGATTTATAAAAACTGTCTACTTATCCATCAACAATATATAGCACCATAATATGAAAGACTTTCAAGTAATCAAAGCTGTTATAGAAGAACTACGTGACGTAGTCTGAACAGGAATATTAAGATTTCTCCAAAATTTATACCAGTAATATTTACATGCAGTAAACAACTTTACTAAATAAAAACTCAGTTTATGTACACTAATGTGTTTTGAATGAAAGAGTGGAACTTGAAATATAGTAAATTACCCCACAGTGCCCATGTAATTTACAGATTTTGAAGGGTCTGATGGGAAAAATTTTTGGCATTGTGTCATTAGTCTTTTTATAGCTTGAATATATTTACGTTGTGTTTCATCGTTCAGAACGTGTGCTACGTTTTTGGCATAGATTTTTTCTTGCGCAGTACGTGAGTGAATACCATGATTTGTCACACCTAACGGCCAAGGAGCATTACCAATTGCTAATTCTAAATAAGCATCATTGGCCTACAAAAGAAAACAGATAAATCCGAGTAATAATCATCATACGGACATTCTTCTCTTCACAGAAAAAACTCGTCCAAGCGTGGTTTTGGAAAATATATAGGGATTAGTTGAATAATTTGGATTAATACTGTGATGAACAACACACGGTAACGTAAATAAAACATATTTTAAAAGGATAAAAAGAGATGAAGTATATTATTGGACATAATAGGCTGAATAATCTGTCTAGAAATCAAAACATTGGTTACCACTGAAAACTAACAATAGTAGACACCCATCGTACATGGATTATGAAGTTAGTAAGCTTTATAGGTTTTTTAGCAACCTGATCAAATCAGAGACAACTACTTTCTTGCTTTAGATTTATCTAGATAATTATGTATTTTAACTACCCAATGGAACTAATCGCTCCTGTAAAAAGCTTACAACCTACCATGAAGCTAAATGCAGCGGAATTCAGGCGAAACCATCACGGTGGTTGGTACTTTTTAACTGCCTGTACTTTGTAGGGACGAGGCCCGAATACACTGGAACTCATCTGCCAAATATAGAATGCGATGAAAAAATACCATAAGACCTAAACTGATCATAAAGTTCGTGGATAAATACGGTCGAAGGATGACAACCGTTGAAAATGTCTTTTGCATATTTACTCGAATATTTGCGAGTTAAACAAATACAGGCGAAGACTATGTTGCAGTACTGCACGCAATAAGCTAAGAATTCTTAACTGTGACCAAACTTATGGTATGTGATAAGGTGAATATAATTATCATTATTTTTAACAAGCAAGAACGGGTCAACGTATCATGATGAATGTCATTTCAAAACCATACGATTTGGGAATACTTACAGATATTTAGTCACAAATGTATTAATGTGGCAATTATTGGTTTATGAAATAAAAATGTAAATGATAATAAGCCTTAAGTTTTGATTGATGTGATAATCTTCACCATTACACAATCAAAATAATTCAATTATACACAATGCTTCAACTGTACCATATATATTGGGAACAGATTACTGTTAAATAGATGTCTCCTACCATCTTGTAAAACATAATCAGTAAGTCACTAGGTGGAACTTGTACGTATTTACACGGGTTCAAGTTGCCATACCCCATTAGCACACAGAGTTATGACTGTCAGGACAAATCGCAGAATAGTAAAGGTAGTGTAGTGAACGAGAACAACAGTGAGGACGACCAAATGCATTTAAACGGACAACTACAGGATTTCTTAATCAAATCTGTGAACCACACAGTAAATACTTCATATGCAAAATGTCAATCAATTATCTCAGACATGGTTGTTACTTCGTTTCCACACCAATCATTCTATGTTCTCGTCCTCTTCTCTTTTTGAAATTCTTAACCTTATGCCGCTAGGCATTTCACTTTCAATTGATGATACATATTACTTATATTTGTCGACATCAGTAGCACACACCACAGTAGTAATATTATCAGTGATTATAGGAAAGATTACGCCACGTTTCGGTTTGGTGGCCCCTAGCTTTCTTCCAGCATGCTCTTACAATCGAAAATATCGCCTGTCGAGGTAAGAGGTCGTTGGGCATACGTGACACATATCCCAACCACCTCAGTTGATAAAGATTTACTGCCTCATCAATCGATTTCCCATCTTTAACTAGTACTCTATTCCTAACGCGGGCATTGCGTACTCCGTGGTCCCAAAATACTCCACCAATGCCTCGTAGGCACCTACGATTGAACACCAGTAACCAACGAATACCCTCTAATATTAATGGCCATGTTTCCCATCCATTAAGTAGAACAGAGCAAACTGCTGCGCAGTAAACTTCCCCTCTTTTTGAAAGACGGATCTCTCACCTACGCCACATGTGATGCAAGTCGGAGAAAACCAATCGAGCCTTCTCACTCCATGTCGAGATTTTGTCAGACACCAGACCATCAGTACTCATGAAACTCCCAAGATAAGTGGAGCGGTTGACGTGTTCAACTACTTCAGTCCCTATCACTCATTCAGACGATGACGCAAGTCGATCCTGAAGTAACTGAGATGTGGTTGAAGGCCAGTTAAACTATTCCGTAAAGAGTTCCGACCATCAGTTCAAGCTCCTGGATTGAGAGTGAATAGTAGTCCCATATTTTCCAAGACAGTTTCACCAACAACCACATCTAAATACTCGTTTCCTTCATAAGTCTGAACAGTTGTCTACTTTTACCTATCACTGCTGACTTTTCCATCTCTTCTGCATTCGCTACTCACCACTGCTAACGATCATTACGTAGGTTTTTTATCGGCCTACATTTAACGTGTTCCGCTTTTGAACTTAATTCCATATCTACTCCTACGAAGCCATGGAAAGTAACATTGGGGTCTCCAGGAACTCGAAGAGTAAGTCATGCCAGTCCTTTATATTGGCAAGGTGAGGTCAAATGAATGGCCATATGATGTGTGGGCGAGGATGGTAATGACTGGTTGTTTGCTTAGTCAGACTAGTAGATAGTCTGACAGGTACTAGATGACTTATATATTCTATTACCCTTATTATTACTGTGATTGATGAAGGATTGCTGTCGGTTATTGGCATGGAAATATATTCGCGTTCTAGTCAGGCTTATCGCGTGTTCTTGGTCTGAGTTGTGTTAAAGTCCTATAAAACAGACGCTGAGAGGGAAGCTAGTGTAGATATTCGTCTAAGGCAAATTAACGTCCCATCGGTGTAGACGAGCAATCCTACCGTTATAACACTGTACGTGGATCCTGTATCCGCATTTTGGAAACGCAGCACATATCGATGACGCGAGGTTCTTGAGTTCTATTTAAACAAGCCTGTGTTCCTGTCTGACACAAGGTTCGAACATTAAAAGCTCCAACATGCAGTTTTGAGCGTGGTTTCAAGAAACTGGGAATAATATTTCGTTAACTCAAATCACTAACACTGGTGGCGCGTGGTGATACAGATCAATCAAAAGGGTTAGTCACGGAGATGGAAGAACTATTAAGAGGTGAGAGAGCGATTTGATCGTCAACAAGATGATCTTGGATGCTGATAGAAGCATGAGTGTGGTCGTCACTTCCCGATTGCACAAATCGTGGGAGGACATTTATTCTTGAGGGATTTGAGAAAGAAGCTGAATTAGTGGCGAGTTAGCTCCGCACTTCTAATAGCCTCACTGCCGGAGACGGAAATCCGTGGGGTAAGGTGAGGCGTGACATTTCTAAAATCGACCTTATCTAACCCCTCCTTCCGTTGTGGGAAGAGAGCAGTGTTGGAGATGCCGGTTGTCCGAGGTAAACACCTCACTGCTGTCAAATTTTTCCACAGTCAGCAGTATGACTTCAACCTCAGACCTTAAGTTGTTGCTTATAGTCTTACAGTTCTCCAACCAACCTGGCTGACACGGTAAGACCTAAAAATACATGCGTTTTAGCCAGTATAACTCAGTTGAGTCATCATGATAGGCAAGCCCGACCACCACGTCAAGGTAGCAGCAACAGTCGCGATGAAATATCATACAAGTGGATGAAACCTGAGGAAACGAAATAATGGCATAGAGTAAAAGTTATTTTATGGAATTAGTGTGATCAAGATCAATGATTATTCAGTAAGAAGGAAAAACACTAGTATGCTGATATATCAACCCGATATTAGTTTATTTCATCACAATCCAGAAAAAACACTTAATAATTGCCTATCTATTTCATAAAACGTAAAAAGCAGAAAGACAGCCCAACTAACCTTTAGGTAGTTCCGATCAATCATCAAAACCATGATTTTAACCAAAGAATTCAAAATATCATCCTTGCAACGCTAAAATGAATGTGATACTGTTAATGAATGAATTGACTTACATTATTCTGAAGTGTACGAAGAAGTGGTTTAATATACTCTACTGTTTGGGTATATGTTGCACTAGCCATTTTTCCAGAATAAGATAGTTTTTCTTCTTTAGTTCTAGTATTCAAAGCATGACCCCATTTTGACAAGAGGAACTAACCGAAAAAAAAATCAGCTTGCAGTGTAACAAACTATCATATCATTGAATAACTATGCAAAAATGAGAAAGTTCGTATAAATAATCCTTTACAAAAAGATTATAAGGAATAGGGAGATTATCACTTGCTTCTATAATCAAGAAAAGATCGCATTGTGAACCAACTCGTTATTAACCAAATCTTACTGTTACTAAATATGGTTAATTCGGCTAAAAGTGATATCCTCATACTTAACTAAACTAAATTTTTAAACAGATTTAAGACAACCAGTCACTTCAGCATGCATATATATTTACTGACCGTGGAATGCTTGGCATATGATCATTGTTGTAGACCAGTAAATGGCATCTAGTAACTGAGCAAGAATAGGAACTCGCAACGAATTATATGCAGTTGGGTCTTCGTTAACCAGACACAATGCAATTTACTTCTAAAAAACAGGCGGGTATATACGACTCGACATAAATGGAAAAGACAGAAAGATACAGATTTATTTGGTAGGACATAAAAACTTAAAACTGTACATTTAAACTTGTAACAGTTCGTGAAGTTACAAAAACAAAAGGCATTAGGGCACAAACAAAATGGAAATGAGTGGAAACAAAGTTATTTATTTTTGTGCACATATGTGCCTGGTCCTACGTTGTAGCTGACTGACTGACTGACTGATTTTTGTGCAACTGAGCCAGCAAAAACTCCCCAGTCACATCCATAACCATAAAACTTAGGCTACTGCTGGACCCAGATCTGGTGGTTCACTGTCGTCATATAATCAGAACGATTTGTAATCTAAATCTCAACCTGAAATGCTTTTACGAATAATTACAAGAATTAATAGTCAATCACTATCTAATCGTATTGTATACCATCAGTTTCTACAGTTAACCAGCTTACTTTTCATGATAAGCTGTGAAGAATGGGAAGAAACTATTTCTATAATGATTGTTGAAAACACAGGACACATGGTATTAACGACTAGTTATCAAACTCATTAATCATTTACTGAAGCGACATCCACACTTGAGCGCTGTGTGGCGTATATATATTGGCGCTCTCATGTACCAATATTTATGTGTTCAAATAAATAATAAATAACTAAAAGAAATACTAGAGACTGCATACTATCAATGTAAAATAAATAATTACATAGATTAAATAAATAAACTCCTGTAGAATCCCCAACATCTGGATATTTATGTTAAACAAGGTTAGAATCTATATTCATGATATAAAGATAATTTAAACACCGACTAGTCGTTTTACTCCTATGAATACATGTTAACAGTTTGTCTGTAACAACTTTCTTATGTAGAAACTTACAAGATGAAACTGACTACAAATTGTGTAACGTACGATTTCTACGCAGTGAAATCAGCAGGTTATTGAACATGCAATTAATTTGGGACTTCGGATATTGGTCAGTTATCTATCTGTTACGACAGCTACCTCTGTGGTGACATTCGTAAAACATTAACAATTCTAGCTTTCCTCGTATTTTTCTTCGTTTTCTTTTATTTCTTTCATATACTGAATCCGCATTACCAATAAAATCTGACATATTTGTCACTGCTGTATCTCAGAGAGCGAAAACAGTATGTCAGCTATTTTTTTATCTCTGTATTTACCACATAATCTGACCAACAGTAATATGATCATAAGCTTTGTTTCGTTACAACTGAAACCTTCAGGGTACCTAGGGGCTTGTTTCGTGGGTGCTGTGTTTTGGTTGGATAAACTAACTTGATAACGAAAAGCCATTTACCGCATTTTTAAACTTGAAGCCAGAAAACCTGGAGTAAATCTTGACGGGGGTGTCTTGAGTGAATAAGAGCCATCCATAAATTCAGTGTTTTTCATTAATTTCGCTTCATAATTAGTTCCAACAACTGACCTGTTACTTTGACCAATATTTTCATTTATCATTTATTTTTAATAACATTGGAATTTGAACTAACAACATACGAATAATGCTCAATTTGGTTCACGAAGAAACACTATCTCAAGCACATTGTAGCCGACGAATTAACATGGCGAAAGTGATTTTCACTTATTCACTACAAGGTATAATTCACAACCATATGTTCACCATGGAAAGGAGTCATAAAAACTCAAAACCATAAACAATAAGGGATCTGGTAAGGTTACGCTTGGACATTTCACCATACCCTGCATGCCATAAGATTGGATTCATTGTAATTAAGTTTTTAAAGTACAATGGATTTATCACTAGTAAAACATAATTCAAACTGATGAAAATATTTTGGCAAATATGCGGTTATTAAAGGTTGAGAAGCTCACCTTCAAATAGCGAAGGGTGTGATCGATCACTTGATCATGAAAACCCTCGTCAAAATCATTGGTACATACAATATCTGGGGCAAGTTTACTAATAGTAACAACCGCAGTCGTTGCGTCATCAGTAGCAGTACCCTCTTTCATTGTGACATAACGGGCTAAATCTATCTTTATCTTTTCAAGTTCGTCTTCTGTTAATACATTTTCTTTTGTTTTTACATCTAGGGTAGAGGTTGATGAGCTATCAACGGACTGAGATTCAGAAGCTGATTTTCCACGACCTGAAGTATAAAACTCTTCATCCTCAGCGTCATCTAACTAACAACAATAATAGGAGTTCTAATAAACTACCTTATCTAATGCTGCAATTAGATCATTGCGCAATCCTTTTGATTCAGGTTCTAAAAGTTGAACCCTTTTCAACCGTTGGAAAGTGTCATAGTCACTTTCACCGAATAATCGTATGGGTTGATTACGTTCCCTTAGAAGACGAATAACCTAAAAACGAAGTTTCAGAAGAACACACGAAATTACTTCTTTACGAGGCATAAGCTTCCCTTTTTCTCTTTCTTCCCGACTTCTTTCTTCGAACTTTTTCAACAAGAGATCCTCCTCCTCTGTCTATCAAAAACATTATCCACTCGGAAATGGACACACACTTTAATTCTAAAATCATAATCCTCATTGTTATTCGCTTGTTCTTTAATGCGTTTGGATTTGCTGAAATATTCCTCTTCTTCCTTTTGTTTTAACAGTGAACGCTTAAAGAACTTTTTATCACACTTCATCTAAATTACGACAAAAACCAGGATTTTTATACATACCAATCCGCTGCTAACTAGCTTCTCACGTTGCCTCGCTATTTCTGCTTTGACGAGATCCATTGTAGGAACAATTACTTCTGTAAAATGCAAAGCATTACAACCTAAGATTTTCAAGGTTTTTACATAAATTGTCTTGATTTACAATAGGTTTGTTGAAAATAGGCGGGATTCGCGGCATTATAGCAGCACGATAGCTGTATTTTTTATCATAAGCCACGAAAATACGTAGTCATTAGAATAAGTACAATATTACCCGACGTCCAGCTTTTGTGGTACTAAATTCCCATACGTTAACTTGTGTTTACAGTGGAAAACAAATACAGTCACATATGATAAAAAATAATTGACTGGGTAACGACCACTTTAGTGTGACTTAAAAAATCACTGAGGCGATAATTTCTATTTATGCAAGGCTCACTTCTCTGGTATTATTCATTACTATGTTTGGAAGCTTGGACGGGCTTGGCTTATCAAAACCAAATGAAGTTTACGATAAAGCCAGTTTATGACCTCGTGATATTTTTTAACAAGTTGTGAAATCATGGAACAGTAAGACCGTACCGTTTTCGACTTGTGATGAGCACCTCTTTCTTTGTTCAGATTTCATATCAAGTAAGGACGACAAGAAAATTAGCCATAAGTACATATGCTTTTAATAACTGAACTGGTAACAGAAGGCTAAACTACTGATTAATACTAAGTTCTTGGAAAAAATGATGTTTAGAGAGAAATCACACCATACCTAGTCTTTTCCACCATTATGGACACATTACTTATATTTCATGGCTTGTCTTACTAATTATATTTTACTGTGTTAATGTAGCACGACAAATCTAACTGGTTTACAAGTGCCAGGTACTACGTAGTATTATCATGTTCTACATTACATATTCAAAGTACAAAATACAGTTTGGTTTTCTGCACAAACCGTCTTTCCAACATCCCTAGCTGGTGAAATCTTGAAGTGGTTTCAAGGTAAACTCTCATAAAGACTAATTAAAGTGTGATTAACATACATTGCGCCTCCAAACTAAAAGTATGAACATGCCTTTGTGGACTCAAGCCATTTACGCTTCTAAAGAGCAGAAATCATGAGTACGAAACAAAATCAACACTCAAAGTGAAAAGACAAGAGAGCGGAATCAGACGAGACTATAATTTATGGACGGAACAATTAGATTTACGGTAACAGGTCTTGAATTTTGGCGCGAAACTAATTTATTCATGTGGCTAAACAGAGTTCTGACATTATAGCCGATGTAAGTTCGTGAAGAAAATCCTAAATCTAATTTCTAACCCTATCTATCAACTGTAAATATTGATCCTAATTCCTCACACTGGTTTATAACCCTCATTTAACCGCAGCATGTAGATGGACATTCTCAAGGTCTTCTAAGAGCCACTTAAATGTTGTTCACAAATTATAGTCTCACACAGTTCTGACTTCCTATCCTTAATTGCTATGTGAATGTGTTCCACAAAGCAAAAGACGATATGGTTTGTGCACCACTGTAACGAATATTAGGTTGAAGCCCATTTTAGGCCTCAAAAGCATTAAAAAATGAGCGAAAGCACTACAGAAATATCTAAGCATATCTTAGAAACGTCAAATCTATGGACTAATAGCTTACTAGCGTTACTACATACCAACATTTTTGAGTGGGTTTCTAGTTTATCCATGAGGTAGACAGTACTCATCGTTAAAGACTTCCACCTTCACTGGACCAGAATATCCGTAAATAAAACATTCAGTTACTCACATTTGTCAGACGGCTTAAACTTCTAACAGCATATAAGATTTAGCTTGATTATGGTTTGACTGGACTCCAGAATAAAATATCAAAGGAACAGTGGCTTTTATAGGGATATTTCTATACATACCTTGAATACAGAACGAATTTTCCGCCAAAAGATACAATAGCCAATATCCTAGTTTCAATGGTGGTCTCTCACTTGGCAACTGCTGAATTCTAGGTCGTTCAGACAATTTCTCCGGGTCATTTTGAATCTCTTAACCATCACCTGCATTTTTTACCGCTTTTCATATCTTGACATTAAATGTTTCAAATAGTTCAAATGGTTCTGGAATCTTTCGTTTAATGGGCTTCCATATCTAGTAGCAGTGAATCACCAATGCCTCCAGGTAAGACCCTAGGAATATTTAACGTCAAAAGAGAAGGGAATTCGGTAAATTATAGTGAGATATTGTCCTTGATCCTTAAGAATATGTCAAGTTTTCTCTCGGAGAGTTCTTGAGAAGTAGCTTGAACTAGTTCGTCTGAAAACGAATCCTAGCATTTGACTACCCTAAAGGAGCATGAGATGCGCATACTTACCGTTCTTTCATGTTGCGTCTTCAGTTTCTAGGTGTTACCCCTAAGTTTTGTATTGGAACTAGGCTTAAGTGGTGCTAAAGGGGATGCTCAGAATTGTTTGGCATACTATAAGACATTAGAATGTCACCTCAAAGAAGCCTGTACCCTAGTGGTTGGGGGTTCAGTGATTGGAGGCGTTTTCCATAAGACTTGAATTTGAGATCCTGAGCTGATTTCATGGCTGGCCGTTGGATACGTCCCAGTGTGTCCTTATTCTTTTGGAGCGAGGGAGAAACACTGTTTCCGCACTTTAAATGGAAATGAATAGAACTGTTGAAAATTGTGTGGAACGTTCTCCCATCGAACTGGCCGAAAATACCCTTCAACGTTACCAATGCAGAGTTTGCTCGAAAGGCTTCAAATCGTAGGGTATCAACACTCAGATCTTTTTAAACTCGGGATACCTCTAGAGAGGAGTTACCTAAGTTGTTTTCGTAGTCTGAAACATGGACTACTTTATATTTTGACTTGTTAAAGGAGAATCTGTTGTCATCTGCCCAACTATGAAGTCAAGTCAAACCCTCCTGAAGTACCGGTTTATCCTCTTCGTTGCATACTTTTCTCCAGAGTTTCACATTTTTAGATGTGAAGTGAACCAATCAGTCAGAGGTGATTTGATACCTAATCCTTTGAGCCTAGTGATAAGACACATGTGGTTGACCCAATCAAAGGCTTTTGAAAAGTCAAGACATATGACGTCAACCTTCTTCCTGAGACCAAGGATGGTTGTCCATCTGTCCTACGCTGCCAGTAGGTTAGTTAAACAAGAGTGACCTTCTCTGTGCTGTTCGAGTAAAAAGAATTTTATAGGTATCGAATAGTCTTGTATACCGTCACATAACAGGAACTCCATAAGTTTCGAGGATATAGAGAAAAGTGCTACCGGTTGGTGGTCTGAAGTTTCTCTGCATCGACCTCCTTTGAAAATTAGTGTGATGTGAGCCAGCTTCCGATTTTTCAGTAATACTCCCCGGCCTAATGAATGTGAGAGCATCACTGTTGGGGACGGTATATCCCCAAAATTCATATTTGTAATTTTATCATATCGATTAACTTATCGATTAAATGTTTAAATATTTGAATGGAAGTCAGTTGATGAACTTATCGATTAAATGATTAAATAGCAGTCAACTGACAAACGTATCGATTAAATATTTGAATGCCTGTCGATTGATGAACTTAATGAGTCATGTTTAAAAACATTTTACTATGAAAATATCGATTACATATATTTGTATATATATACGTTTCAAATTGTGTTTGTGGGCTTGTTCGTTTTCTGGCTGTTTGAAGAATAAATTTTCCATACCAAGCTTGGACTTCTCCTTCTAGATAGCGGGGCTGTGGCGCGTCAATAGCTGGATTACTGGTCTTTGGTCACTGAGTCTTGTTCTCGTTCGTCGATTAAGTGAACTCGTGAAGCTCCAAACCTAATAATCACGCTAAGCGGTGTTGCCAAGTTTGAAGTTGCTTCCCTCATATCCAGACCAGGAGAAGTATTTTGTTTGGGTGCTGCAGTTTCCCGTACACCAAGTCAGTGCTCATTTCCATTTCTGAAAGTCTTCTGGAGTTGTAGATGAAACTTTTATCAATATAGTTAGTTCTAGTCGGTTGAAATGTCCAAAAGTATTGTTTTACTAGAAGGTTAGCGGCGTCGCCGTTGTTGTTGGTAGAGTGCGGTTCTTGATGACTATAGGTTGCTTTTCGATTTTAAGGACCGTTAGCGGAACAAACTGCTTTGTAGCACATATGATCGTGTACAGTAAGATATCCCAAAGAGCATCAACATCAAGTTGAGGGTGAACTTTCCAGTCCACCTGTTGTTGATTGTCTGTAAAGATGGAACATCTAACCATTTGAAATTCCAACGCCTGTTGTTCGTAGGATGTATGAGATCAGTTTTTCTGATAAGATTGAAGACTATGACGGCTTGACCACTTTTACCCAGAAGAGTTGTTAATTAGGAATTCCTCGTTTGTAAATACGCAGTCTAAGAGCGACGGCGTTTCTAACTTGACATTTTCGAATAACCCCAGATCTTTAGTGACTTTGAATAACCGAGCTTCAGTAGAGTTGTCAGCACCAGTATAAGTATGTTCAGTGTGGTTGAGTTTAAGAAGGTTGAATTCAACAAAAATCAGGATATAAGTGCGTTCGTGACTCGTAGAGCGGTATAATCCCACTGGGCTTTCTGTAGATTATTCTAACTAGACATCTCGGGGTGTTAAACGATCGTACTGAGCACCAAACAGATTCATCAGGTTTGATAAACTCTTGGGTTTTCACTTGATGTGCTACCAAGCAAGATCGAAAGTACAGGACTACTCCACCTCCATTTTTGATTTTTTCTGTTGTTGTGAACCAAAGACATGTGTAATTTTGGAAGATAGCCATGTTTCAGATATTCTTTTCAGATGAGTATTAATAATCTTACTTGGTTCATGCAACTCATCCATTTTATCGGCTAAACTTACGACGTTCATATATAGGCAGTTTATGCTTTCAATTTGAAACGCGTGAGCTTTCTCGTCCTGTTAATCTTTATGAACCTTATTTGAATGGACAAGTAACCTACCCACGTAGAAATTTCCGAGTTGGTTACCCCTGTTCCTTCTATATTTTTTCCATGATCTTGACAGTCCACAAGTTGAATAGTCAGTTCCAACTTATATGTTTATTCAAAAT